TTTTTTGACGGGTAAAATGAATGACAAGTTTTTATCAGAGGATAGGTAATATCTTTTTTGAACGGGTAAAATGAATGATAAGTTTTTATCAGAGGATAGGTAATATCTTTTTTGAACGGGTAAGGTGAATGATAAATTGTTATCAGAGGATTGGTAATATCTTTTTTGAACGGGTAAAATGAATGACAAGTTTTTATCAGAGGATAGGTAACATATTTTTTGAACAGGTATGGTATGCTATATTATTGAATTCTAATTAGTGATTCGGATGGCAGGTGATAGGGGAGAAGTAATAGGTAGGTGTTGATGGATTGATTAGAGTTTATATGTCAATATAACCTAATATAAAATTGATTTCAGCGATTTATTAATGATATTGATATTTTTTTTTTGGATTGATAAATGAGTGATAGGTGAATGATAAACTATTATCAGTGGATATGTTATTATAAAATTTTAGCATCAAGAAATTTGACCAAAAAACTAAAATTGAAAATCAATTATTGGAAATGCAATATTTGATTATATGGAAATCGTTTATAAAGAAGTGAAAATTTTTTATGACTTCTTTTTTAAGTAATCCATAAATAACTTTATCTTTTCACTAATTGGGAATTTCATTTATAAAAAAAAAATAATCAACGAGAGTGATGACCAGTGGAAAAGATATCCATTAATATGTCATTCTCGTACTCTGATCCATGTATGATTGTGCTATGTCGGATGAGGTCAGCCCGCCAAAGAGGTCAACCTATTGTGTAATATCTCACGACACTCGATTGAATAAATAACGTTTAATTTTGCTTTTTTTTTTTTAAGCTCCTGTTCTGGACGAATTATTGTTGATGTTACTACTTTATTATTACAAAAAAGTTTGAAGTTAAATGGTTGGAACAAATTTAAAAAAAAAAAATTGAAATAAAATATAACTTCGTAGATTATAAGATTATAAAGGTTGAAATTTTTTGTTAGCATAATAACTCATGCTAATAGCTAATCATTCTTAACTATTGGATCTTAATTATTTTCTTAAACAATAAGTGAAATAATTGATTCTTTTTTTTTTTTTTGCAGGATAAATAATATTTTTTTTATAAGACAAAATTATGAAGAATAAATAAATAATAAACAAATAAGTTCGTTATTTGTTGAAGTGAGTAAATAAAATATTTAATTACACGAAGAAGATTGAAGACAATTTCTTCTCTGTAAAATAATATATTTGGTAAATATGTTTGGTAAGTAAGGATTTTTTTTTGTTTTTTGGACAAAATTATCATTAATCAATGGAACGAATATAAGAAGTAATTTAAATTAAATTTTGGTGACTCTCCTAATTAATTAAATTGTAACAAGAAAGAAAATATTCTTCATGAGGAAGGAATTGTTTCTGTTTCAACCAATTTTATTTCTCAAATTGTGAATTCATTAATATAAATTAATTTAGTTCATTCAATTTCTTTTTGTTATAAATATTGCTTGTTTGAATACTTTCTGCTTGTTTGTTTGTCTGTTGTTGTTATTTGTTATTGTTT